CCTCCTGTGTTCAAGTGATTCTCCTGCCTTAGCCTCCCAAGTAGCTGGGACCACAGGCGTGCACCACCACACCTGGCTAGTTTTTGTATTTTTAGTAGAGACGGGGTTTCACCATGTTAGCCAGGCTAGTATCAAATTCCTGACCTCATGATCTGCCCTCCTCAGCCTCCCAAACTCCTGATCTCATGATCTGCCCACCTCAGCTGTGATTACAGGCATGAGCCACCGTGCCCAGCCTGTAAGCTTCTTAAAAACAGAGAGTCTTAACATTTCTGTATCACTATTGATGAGCAATGTGCCTGGTACATAATAAATGATCGAAATAAGCTTGTGGCATTGTATTATATTTGTAATACAGCCTTCTTCTTCTCCGCTTCAGGTCATAGGCAAGAGGACATCAGTAGTTTCTAAATATCAGGCTTTAGACTGTTTGCATCACAAGTATTTACGGGAAGCTCCTTTAAAAATACGGATTTGTGAGTTCTAACTCTGAAGATTAAAAAAATAGGATTTGGATTGGGCCTAGGAATCTATTTAGTTGTTTACTTTTGTTTTAAAACTTTTCAGTTGGTACTGAAGCAGAATCTTGTTTGGAAACCGCTACTAAGGTTGTGCTTTAGGTGCTAACAAGTCTTTGGACCATTAACTATCTGTGTGCCCCTGGCCAAATTACTTAACCTCTCTGTGCCCAAATTTTCTCAGGAAATAGATTCAATAGTACCACTTTATATGGATGTTGTGAGGATTCAATTAGTTAATTATATAAAGAGCATCCTGGAGTGCTTGGAACATAGTAAGTACAATGTAAGTGTTGGGTTTTTTTCCACAATAGAGAGGACCCAATCCTCATTTAAATTGGAAGAAACCAGGCCAATGTTTAATTATTTAATTCATGGTTTTTTTTGTTCCTGCTTTATTCTCTTCAATGTATGAATTATTCATTAGCAAGCCTATCCTAAGATTAAACTTACATTTCTATCTGCCCCATCTTTTTAAAGATACCAGTGAAAATCAAAACAATGCAGTGCTAACCTCCTCACTAACTGTTCTCAGGGTTAGTCAAGGGCTAAGTATTTGGTGACAGAATGGGGCTGTAGGAGTAGACTTACATGTATGTGAACAAGGCAGGTTGTAACACCTTATAACGACTATCAAGCACAAAGAGAAAGAATGGGCTAACCCAATCTCTTCTCAGAGGGAAACAAAAAGCAGGCATTAGCAGTCTGGAGCAGTGAGAACTGGGGAGAGGGTTTTCTCCATTGTGACATAATACACAGTGGTAAGGCAGAGCCTGCTACGCAAGTGGTTGACCCTAAAATGTAGGCTCCATGTTTTGTTTGAGACTGTATTCCCAGTACTTAGAATAGCACCTAACCCTAATAGATGCACAATAAATGCTAAATGAGTGAATAAATACTTCAGACTACTTAGGGAAGGGTAGTCTATATGAGAAAAGGACACGTGATCTGTGTTTTAAGTGTAACACATACCACAGTTCAAACTAGAATAGCATCAGCTGCCCGCAGGGTGAGGACTAGTTTCGTTTAGCACCTAGCCCAGCAGGGGTGGTCAGTAAGCATGTGTTGAATACATATTGGTTGAATAAATGTCAAGCAGATTTCCCCAGGAGAACTTCATTGTTCAATAGATTTAAATGACTCGTAATTAAGAAATCAGTTCTTCTTATATAATGGGCACTTTCAGTTGGCTTTTGCGAGTACCCCTAAAATCCCATCTATCCTACAAATCTGCACTATCTTTACACAAAGTTTTGACCAAGTAAGAGTCCATTCCAGCCAGCTCTGTCCAAATAGCCACAAATTCTAAGTTAATGGAATATAAATTAATGCAAAGTTACCGGAAAGAAAAGACTGAACTTAGCTAGTGCTTTCGCTGCATCATAAGAAAACCACGAAACTCAATGGATACATATACATACCTGTACACATGTAAAAAAAAAAAAACCTGACACCCTATAGTGTTTCTTTTTCTATTTCTCTATCCTGTCCAGATAGTAAAAGAGGAAAGGATTATTTTTATCATTGATGAGGCCCAATATGTGGATCCGACCTCCTGGGCATTTATGGAGAAGCTTATCCGGACTGTTCCTATCTTCATCATTATGTCCCTGTGTCCCTTCGTTGAAATTCCCTGTGCAGCTGCCACTGCCATAATGAAGAACAGGAACACCACCTACATCACCATTGGTCCAATACAGCCTGATGACATCTGCACCAAGGTCTGTCTTTACCTCAATGTAAGCAGCATCTCCAACGAACTGGACTCGTAAGTAACCTCTTTCTATTCTGAACTCGACATGTGCATTCATTCCCTGGGTCCAGGCTTCATCAGATTTCTTAGTGTGTGTCTTGAAGTGTGTATTTCAGTATCTTTTCTGGCCCCACCATTTGTTTTTGTTTTTTTGAGAACAAAGTCTCACTCTGTTGCCGAGGCTGGAGTGTGACGGTTCAATCCTCTTTCTCCTAGGTTCAAGTGTCTCCTGCCTCAGCGTCCCAAGTAGCTGGACTTACAGGCATGTGCCACCATACCCAGCTAATTTTGTATTTTTAGTAGAGATGGGGTTTCTCCTTGTTGGTCAGGCTGGTCTCGAACTCCTGACCTCAGGTGATCTGATGCCTCGGCCTCCCAAAGTGCTGGGATTACAGGTGTGAGCCACTGTGCCTGGCCAGCCCCATCTTTTAAAAATTTTTTCTTTTCCTTTTTTCTTTTGAGACAGGGTCTCGCTCTGTCACCCAGGCTGGAGTGTGGTGGTACCATCATGGCTCACTGTAGCCTCAACCTCCTGGGCTCAAGCCATCCTCCTCTCTCAGTTTTCCAACTAGCTAGGACTACAGGTGTGCACCCTGGGTAACTTTTTGATTTCTGTAGAAATGGGGTCTTGCAGTGTTGCCCAGGCTGGTCTTGAATTCCTGGACTCAAGCAATTCTTTTCTCAGCCTCCCAAGATGCTGATATTACAGGCGTGAGCCACTATGTTTGGCCTGGTCCACCTTTTGAAGGGGCCATTCATAATGCTTGGTAGGATAGATGTTGCTCACCTTTTCCATGTTGTCTCCCTGTTACGCCTTCTCAAACTTTGCTTAGTGGGTTTATTTCACTTTCATCATGGGGGGTATGGGTATACTCACTTTAACATACAGTGACTACGAGCATTGTCATGGGCAAGAGACAGGAAAGCCTTAAAGACCACGACCTGCAACTAAGCAAGGTCTTACCTGGCTGACAATGGTGTGGTCTGGTATTCGTGCTCTCCATCTATGGCAGAGTGGAAAGCTGATTCACTGGTGAGTTGTCTCTGAGCTTTTCAGTGATTCCTCTCCTGGGGTCTTGACAGCAGTCACCTTAATTAACAACATAGACAGTGTTTCTTCTTTAGCTGGCTGTTTACAACCCATCTTAGTATCTGCAATGAGGTTGTTGCTTCTGGAAGAAAGATGTCTTAGACAAAGGCTCATTTAAGATAACTCCAGGCACAATTTTGGCCCTTTTTTTTTTTTTTTGGAGACAGAGTCTTACTCTGTTACTCTGTCACTCAGGCTGGAGTGCAGTGGCGGGATCTTGGCTCACTGCAACCTCCTCCTCCCAGGTTCAAGTGATTCTCCTGTCTCAGCCTCCCAAGTGGCTTAGTCTACAGGCACCTGCCACCACGCCTGGCTAATTTTTTGTATTTTTAGTAGAGACGGGGTTTCACCATGTTAGCCAAGATGGTCTCGATCTCCTGACCTCATGATCCGCCCACCTCGGCCTCCCAAAGTGCTAGGATTACAGGCATGAGCCACCGTGCCTGGTCTCTCTCTGTTTAAATTATATAAAACGCATATATCTTTCCAAAGCCAAAAAGGTATATCCTCAGTCTTGCTTCCCTCCCTATCCTATAAGTAACCATTTGGATTTTTGGCTTATCCTTCCAATGTCTCTTTTAAAAAATATAAAGTACACTTATTGCGTACACACATCAGTGAAATAAAAAGTTAAAAAAGCAATGCCTCAAAATGGAAAACAAACAGAAACAAACGAAGAATGAGAAGAAATTATTTTCAAGTGATTGAGAAAACTCAAATGTTTTTCCTTCCTAAAAGATCTATCTTCAATGTAAACAGATTGCCTTGTTTTCACTACAGGTACCTGGTGGAGAAAAGCGGTGGGATTCCATTTTACTGTGAAGAATTGCTTAAAAGCCTAGAACATCACAATGTACTCCTTTTCCAACAAATGGAATCAGAGGAAAAGACAAATATGACCTGGAATAGCCTGTTTGGTAAGTCCGGTGTCGATGGTTCTTTTTTACTCTGTTCTGCGTGACTTAAGTCTTTATTCAGAGAAGGTAGAAAGAATGAGCTATTTCACAGGCTGCTTCCTGTAGAGTCAGAGTGTTCTGGGGAACCAAGAATTATTGGATCTGATATACCAGATTGTAAGAGAACTTAACATTGCCTGGGACTCACTGGACTGGGCTAAAGAATGTATAAATATGGTCAGGCACGGCAGCACATGCCTGAATCTCAGCACCTTGGGAGGCCAAGGCGGGCGGATCACTTGAGATCAGAAGTTCAAGACCAGCCTGGCCAACATGGTGAAACCCGTCTGTACTAAAAATACAAAAATTAGCCAGGTGTGGTGGTGAGCACCTGTAATCCCAGCTACTTCAGAGGCTGAGGCAGGAGAATCACTTGAGCCCGAGAGGCAGGGGTTGAAGTGAGCCAAGATGGTGCCACTGCACTCCAGCCTGGGCAACAGAGTGAGACTCAATCTCAAAAACAAAATATGTAACTATAGTAGAAATGACAGAACACTGACAAATCTTAAGGCCCAGAACTGAAGGTCAGCTTCATTATTATCTTCAAAAAAACCTTTCCTTTCTTGCTAGAGGTAAAATTTCTACTACAAAGTAAGTTATCAACAAAGATCCCATGCTATAGAAATGTACACAGGAATGAAATTTGAGGTGATGGCATAAAGGAGACCATTTGGAATTTTTAGGAAAATAATTTTAGTGCAGGGAGAAGGGCGGGGGCCAGAGGATGGGGTAAGAATACAAGATAGAAAGTAGAGGATCAAGGCTATAGCAAATGGGGCAAAGGCTGACAACAGGCGAATCTGAGTGAAGAGTACACTGTTGCCTATCACCCTTTTATTTCTTTCACACAACTTAATTACATTATGAGATTATCCTATTTATTTATCGATTGTTTAATGTTTGTCTCCCATCAGAATGGGAGTTCTGTGAGGCAGGGAGTCTTGTGCTCTCCTGAATCCCCAGTCCTAGGAAGAGTCATAGTACCTAGAGGCACTCAGTCAATACTAGTTGAGTGATGGAAAGAATAATTGTGTCAGTGCTAGGTCCTGGAAGGGGAAATAAGCATGAGAGAGCACGCAACACATTGTACCTTTGAGCCCCACCCTCCTATTCCCAACACACACACACACACACACACACACACACACACACACACACACACGACCCCTTTTTTGGTATGCTACCCTACCTTGGCTTCCTGTACCCCATATTCCTCCCATTCTCCTCTCTCACCTCTCTGACCAGTCCTCAGATGCTCCTTGGCTCTCTTCCTGGGTCTACTCCTCCTGGGAGGACATTCTTCAAGTTCTATCCTTAACCCTCTCCTTTTGCTACCTTTCTAGAATTGGAAACAACTCTTTCCCCAGTAGTTTTCATTTATTCATCTACTTCTCAGCCTGTGTGTGTGTGTGGATTCTCCAACCCTAACCTCACCCTTAATTCCACACTTATTTCCAATTGCCCATTGAACTATTCCACAGATTCCCTTGCACTTAATACATCTAAAACTTCATGCACTATCCTCCCTCTCAACCACCCCTCCCTCTGTACTCCATGTCTCTGTCACTTCTATCACTGTCTTGTTTAGGCCTCGTTTCCTCTATATCTTTAGTACTTGCTTTCTCCTTGCTGAACCGCTTACCTGGTTCTATCCATCCTCACTTCTTGACATTCCATTGTCATAGCTCCTTACATAGTCTTCCCTGTCCTAGTCTCTGGCCTTTCCTATATGCTGCTTCCAGTACTACCTTTCTAAATATGGCTGGTTGGATTACTACTATCTCCTCTTTGGAAATCTGTGATCTTTCCCTGTTGTCTATAAAGTCCAGTCTTCAAAGTATGGGGTTTAATGCCCTCCATGCTCTGTTCCCAAACTAACTCTCCGAACACATGTCCCACAGTAGCACTTTAGCCACGTTGGGCCACTCCATTCCCCTAACTCACTAAGTACTCTGAAGCTCCTGTGCCTTTGCGTTGTCCTCTCTGCCACTTTCCTCTTAGAATATCTCCTCATCCTTCAAAGATCAATCAAAATACTTCCTCCTCTGTCAAGCCTTTCTGAATCCACCATGTCTGATTTAATTGTTATTTTCTGTTCCCTCAATATGTTACTCTTTGCTCTTCAGCTCTTAAGTCACTCATCCTGGTGTTATAATTAGTTACTTATATATCGGTCTCCGTAGATTTTTAAGCCTCTTGAGGGCTAGAAGCATGCGTTATTCATGTTTATAGCCTTCACTGGATATGATGCACAGAAAGTCCTTAATAAATATGTCCTGTATTGAGTTGAAATCTCTGATGCTTACTGTTTGTGCCCAGTCACATGGCACTCATTTACTGCCTGGCAGTCTAGCTCTTTGTGTACATGACTTAGAGCTCCAGGAAATAAGGAACTTGGTTTTATTCACCTTCCTATTTCCACCTCACCTAGAACAGTCTTGCAGCTACCAAGGACTACATGAATGGCTTAAGGAAGAGGAAAATCATGCATTTTGGAGTACTAGGAAACCAAACTACTAGGCATATTTACTATTCAAACTTCATAATTTAAAATATCTTTCTGATAGCAGCCATGTCTTAATTAGAGTACAGTGCTCCACAGAACGTGTTTGTATCTGAGTGTGGGTATGTAAATCTATACATACAAATATATGTTACTGTATACTGTAATACATTCTGATAATCTGTGAATCAAATGTTTGTAAAACCTTATATCCTATGGAAGACATAATCTGTGAATCAAATGTTTGTAAAACCTTATATCCTATGGAAGACATCAATAGTTAGTGCCAATTCTTTAGTTTGGGCAGGGCTAGCAGAGGGAGACAAAAACATTTTTGAGTACATCTAAATTTTCATAAATCAGTTTTACTTAAAACAGGGTTCCAGGGGCCCGGTGCGGTGTGGCTCACACCTGTAATCTCAGAACTTTAGGAGGCCGAAGCAGGCAGATCACTTGAGGTCAGGAGTTCAAGACCAGCCTGGCCAACATGGTGAAACCTGTATCTACAAAAATTAGCCAGGCATAGTGGTGGGCACCTGTAATCCCAGCTACTCGGGAGGCTAAGGCAGGAGAATCACTTGGAACTGGGAAGTGGAGGTTGCAGTGAACCAAGATTGCACCACTGCACTCCAGCCTGGGCAACAGAGACTCCATCTCAAAAAAATAAATAAAAATGTAAAAACCCAAGGTTTCTAGAATATTTGATGAGCCACGCTTCCTCACATGAGATCTGTCTCAAAGCTCATTAGAAAATCTCTGCCCACGCTTTCTCACATGAGATCTGTCTCAAAGCTCATTAGAAAATCAGACCTTGTAAGACAGGATAATGACTCAACTTTCCTTCCCTTTTGTACCCCTGTAGACACTTTCATTAAGCCAACAGAGAAGTTAAAAATGTTTACTTCCCATAGTGATAGGAATTGTGAAGAAGTCTGTCACCTCGCAAGTGGGGTCAGATTGAAAAACATGTCACCCCCAGCGTCATTAAAAGGTAAGAAAATCTGACCTGGTATTTATTTTCTAGTTCCTAAACTCCACTTTGGCTTTCTCTAGAATGTCTGTTTTTAAAAGGAAAAAGAAAAACAGCAACACGGGTTGTTTGTTTGCTCTGTACTGAAGCAGTGAGAAGGCTTCAGGGTAGGCTTGGCTTTTCTTCTCATTAAGAGCCATCTTTCCCCCAATCTGCATAAAAGAATGAAGTATTGTACATTTTCAATTCAACAGAAACCAAATAATGAGGGAGAAAATATAATACTGAGATATTTCCTGCCATCTACTTTTATGAGAAAGAAATGGCAAGAGTTTTATATGAAAGATGTATTATTATTCTTTTAAAGAAAAATGACTTTCAAGGAATGTTTTAGTATGAACTCAACTCTAATTCCTGCCATCCATAAGCAACTTTAAATGTTTAGAAAGACGGCCTAGGGACATCTCAAGGTCCTCAATCTTTAAAAGAATGGCATTTATGTTTTGTTCACTGTGTCTACTAATATAAGAAGGTGGTGGCTCACACCTGTAATTCCAGCACTTTGGGAGACCGAGGCAGGTGTATCACCTGAGGTCAGGAGTTCGAGACGAGCCTGGCCAACATGGTTAAACCCCATCTATCCAAAAAATACAAAAAATTAGACGGGCATGGTGGAGAGTGTCTGTAATCCCAGCAACTCGGGAGGCTAAGGCAAGAGAATCACTTGAATCTGGGAGGCGGAGGTTGCAGTGGGCCGAGATGGCACCATTGCACTCCAGCCTGGGCAACAAGAGTGAAACATCGTCAAAACAAACCAGACAGACAGAAAGACAGAAAAAAGGAAGGAAGGAAGGAAGGAAGAAGGTGAACTAGCTTAGGCTTCTACTTTGTTCTTTGGAGAAGTTGAAAAGTTCCAATTTTGTCCCTAACAGAAGGATATCCTGGTCAAAATGTCCAGGAAGCCACATGAGCTATGATACTCAAGCTTAGATGAAAAGTTGGGATAGGAGCTGTGAACTCTGACACTTGGTTATGACTCAGAGATGATAATGTATGTCATGAGAATACATAAATTTTTAGGGAAAATAGAAGCTAGGAGTTTCTAGGAGGAAGAGGGGCCAGAGAAGAAGATAGAAGCATCAGTGGAGGAAGGCACAGGAATGGCAGGCCCTGCTCCTTCTGAAAACAGTGATTACAATGTCCTCTCCTCTCCTCAAACATGCTTGTCACACTTTAGCACAAAATCAGAACACCATGTAATCGATCTCAATTTTGTCAGGTCATTGTGCCATGTGTCTTTCCAGGCCATACGCCTGCATCTTCAGTACTCCCAGTACAAGTGCTATCCACAGATTAGGTGCTAAACAAATACTTCTTTTGACTTAGCTTGTCTGAGTTTCTTTCAACAAGAACTGTAGAGCAGGATGGTTGTCCACCTCTTGCATTTGATAAAGACAAATAACTAGCTCTCTACTGTGTGGCCTTCTACCTGCAGAAATCTCTCTGGTTCAGCTGGATAGCATGAGCCTTCCCCACCAAATGCTGGTGAGATGTGCTGCCATCATTGGCGTGACCTTCACTACTGAGCTGTTGTTTGAGATACTCCCCTGTTGGAATATGAAGATGATGATCAAGGCCCTGGCAACCCTAGTAGAGTCTAATATTTTTTATTGTTTCCGGACTGGCAAGGAGCTTCAAACAGCTCTGAAACAGAACGAGGCCTCATTTGAGGTGCATTATCGCTCCTTGTCTCTGAGGCCCAGTGAAGGGATGGGTGAGTAGCACCTGGAGTGACCTAATTTCCCTTAAGACCCACCTAGATCAAAGAATTGACCTATATTAGGTAGAAGGGGCTGATCTGTTGCCCACTGCCTGGCTAATCTGTTGGCCACTGCTCTCTCTAGATCACGAGGAAGAGGAAGAGCTTCGTGAACTGCAGAGCGAAGTGATCGAGTGCCACATCATCCGATTCTGTAGTCCTATCATGCAGAAGACAGCCTATGAGCTGTGGCTCAACGAACAGAGAAAAGCCATGCATTTGAAATGTGCCCGCTTTTTAGAAGAAAATGCCCACAGATGTGACCACTGCCGAAGCAGAGACTTCATTCCCTATCACCACCTTACAGTGAATATTCGGCTCAACACTTTAGACATGGATGCTGTTAAAAAGATGGCTAAGTCTCATGGATTTCAAAGTAACCTATTTCATTTTAATATTATCCTAACTGTTCTTGGGAAATCTAGAGACTAAGATCTAGAAGGAGTACGTGTGGACCTTGAGGGTTCCAAGACTCTTAGGGGCTTGGGCACAAAGAATGATGAGACCTCAGCAGCCTAGGCCAATGGGGAAGAGAAGAGTATGGGAATGTACCTGTATCGAGTCTAGCAGAACCAATCTCACTATGAGACTGTCAGGGAGGGTTTGGGGATAGGGGCTCTGGCAAAACAGGGTGTGACCAGAGCTCAAAAGAAAATATCCCGCTTAATTCACATTAAGGGATGAAATCCAAAGAGCCTGGGTAGGGGGGTACAATCTGACATGGTGACATGTTTCTTGGTAGATAAGAATATTGTTGCTTTGTTGGTCTAGTTTGAAACAGGTTCCAGTGGGAAAAGAATATGAGTGTGAGAGAATTAGCCAGGGCTAAGCAGGTCAAGGCTCCAGAAAAGAGAACTTGGTTTCAGGGCAGAAATTCAAGATCATCTGAGAAGCAAATGTAAAAAAACTTACAAACCGGTAACACCAACCAGCCATGTGACCTGAGAAAACAAAGCAGAGGATTCAAGGGATGTAAGTACCCAAAGACTCAGTCACTGCAGGCATGATGGGTGTCAGACATAGAGCTGCAACACCAATTCTAGCCCCCATTCATGGTGGCCAGGGAGCCTCTAATGGGCTGCCTACCATGGTCAGAGGACCTTGGTGATTATGGCTAAATCTGGTTGGGAAAGCAGAGGCTACAAGTAGAGGGCTCCTATATTATAAGGATATTAAAAATCAGGAACAAATGTATCTAAACTGCCTAGCACATAGCAGGTACAAAATAAATTTTTTCCTCACTCGTTCTTTATTTCATGTGCATTCTCTCTGGATCCTCATATCAACCCTTTAAGGTTGATGAGGATTTTTATTGTATAGATTTTAAAAATTGTGGTTCTGGAAGCTTAACTTAACCAATACCACAGAACGAGTGGCAGCCTGTATTCAATCTGCCATCAGTCTAATTCCTGAGCTCCCCTAAAGGTGGGGTTGGACTTTTAGAAAATACTTGCCAGAAGATAGGCAGTTCATACACACAGCATTACATAGAAATCAGAGGGTGAGAAAGTTGCGGCTTTGCACAGTGGGATGAGCATGTTGTTGAAACCGCACTAACATTTGTCCATCTCTTTTTGGAAAAGAGGAATCAGGCTGTAGGTTCAGAGCCTTAAGAACTAGACTCTGAAGATTTCTAGTACTCCAAGAGCTTGAGTACAAAGAGGACAAGACTTCAGCAATAGTCTCACCCCCGCTGGGGCAGGGAAGATGTCAGGGGAGTATACACCTACTTAAGTCTAGTTCTATTACTAGGGTCTATTAAATTTTCCCTTGTGGGTTGTAGTTTTCCAAAATTGGAAATATTATCACAAAAGTGGTATGTGTGTAACCTGCTGACATTGTAATTTGTGCCGAAGCACCAAGATACAATGAATGCTGCAATCCAAAGTGAGGCAGTGGATATACAGAATTTACAAAGGAAATAGCTGAGAATCAATTATAATCTTGGATCCTTTGCCCAGATCTAAGACATAGGAATGAGGAAGAGTATGTAGAGGGCCAGGATTTGTGAAAAGATCTCTTTGGTGAGAACTGATGAGGTGCTGTGTGCCCTTCTCAAGTGAGTTGTTTACTTCATCACCTCAAACCTAGTGAGGCGTCTTCCTTAGAATCAGAGGACACAACACAGGGGCCTGCCTCATGCCTAAGAAGGTTGAAGTGGCCTGTGGCTGCATTGGGATCAAGCTGCCATCCCAGACTATGGGAAAGGATGTGTGAGGGTTTCTTATGGATCAGATATAACCCACCTGGGAGAAACAGCCAGTCTTGAACCATTTTAAGTTCTTTCCAGAGTGCCCTTGGGAGGGTGAGAAGACCCCTGGGTGTGGACTGCTAGAACAAGACAGGGGTAAGTGGGGGCAGACTGTGGAGCACTGGGATGTGCTGCCTGAATCAAGGAAGCTTCAGTGAAGGATCCCACACAGGACCCCATTCAAAGAACCAATGAAAGTATCAGTAGGAGATGAAATGATGGAAAGAGATGAGGGAAAGAGGAAAGAATATTTGACTGTGTGGGGTGAGTCATACATATACACATATACAAACATACACATGTACATACACATACGTATACATAGATGTATTTTTTGGTAGACTGATGTTTTATTTTGGGGGATAAACTAAGCTAAAAGAAGCTGACAGCTAGAAGATAGGTCAGTTTGAGCAGCTGCCCTTGAGCAGGCTGACTAGGGTCATCAAAGCAAACAATTTCAGTTATTTGCAGATTCTCCAATCAACTGGTAGTTCAGCTCTGGAGCATATGTGACCAAACGTCTCTGAATAATGTTTGCTGGTATTTCCTATATCAGCACCTCCACCATAGTCAGGCCATGGCTCTACTATTTCTCTTGTCAGAATTTTTCACCTGTTCAGAAGGCTATCAACTAGACAAACTTTAGAGACTTTAAATTTCCTAAACATTGCATTATAAAACGATAATCCCATGCTCCTCTGTCCCACACACCTTCAGTAGTTCCAGTTAGGGGCAAACATTTTTAACTTAGCTGTTCTTTCTAGTTATTACCTCCATATACTAAATGGTGTATTAATATTGCTTTTGATTTTTTAAAAAATCAAATTCTGACTTGTTTTCTGGCTATGGCAGATGAGGATTTAACTTTGTTATACCACTCCTCAGCCCCTCTCCCCTATATTGTTATATAACTGGCATTAGATAAATCAATGAAGTGTTTACATTAAGACTGTATAAATGTTGTCCATTACAAGCCAAGCAATACACTGTGAATAGATTTAACAAATGTTTTTCCTAGGGAACTTTTTTGCAATGTCTTCCTTAAAATATCCTGCTTCAACCTATCCTAGACAGATACTCTATCCATTATCCTTGAATCTCCCAAAGCGTAGAGTATAATCTTTAGGCAATACTGGTCAAGGACATGATTGGAACCAAGTGCAGTGGCTCATGCTTGTAATCCCAGCACTTTGGGAAGCTGAGGTGGAGGGATCACTTGAAGCCAGGAGTTCAAGACCAGCCTGGACAACAAACTGAGACTCTGTCTCTACAAAAAACTAAAAATAAAAAAATTAGCCAGACATGGTGGCGTACATCTATAGTCTCTCAGGAAGTTGAGGTGGGAGAATCTCTTGAGCCCAGGAGTTCAAGGATGCAGTGAGCTGTGATCATGGCCAATGCTCTCCCCAAAAGGCAAAAAAAAAAAAAGACATAATTGCAAGAGATTCAGGGCCACTGCATTATGTGTGAATCAGTTAGGGAGAAAGCTAGTAGCTGGTTCCCTTTCAATTCTCTTTTGATCCTCACGTCCTTCTTAAGAAATGTTATTTTCTGAGCCTTGATTCAATCCAAGGGTTTAACCTCCTGGGCGCTGTCCTTCAGCCTCTTCCACCTATTTCATCAATGACTATTCTTACTCTTCTACAAATATGTTGAAATTTCATTCAGCATCTCATTTACTCATTCCACAATTATTTATCGGGTTCCTACTATGTACCAGGTACTGCTTACTGCCCTAGGCATCTGAGATGCATTGGTGTACAAAACAGCATTCTGTTGGGGAAAAGTAGACAGTGGAGAACAAAGACATAATAAAGAAAGAAATTTCTGGGTGCAGTGGTTCATGCCTGTGATCCCAGTGGCTTTGAGGGCTTGAGGCCAACAGCTCAAGACCAGCCTGGGCAGGATAGCAAGACCCCATCTCTTAAAAAAAAATTAGCCAGGTGTGATGGCTTGTGCTTGTAGTCCAAGTTACTCAGGAGTGTTGCTTGAGTCTGAAAGTTTAAGACTTCAGTAAGCTATGTTCACACTACTATACTCCAGCCTAAGTGACAGAGCAAGACCCCAACTCTTAAAAAAAAAAAAAAAAAAAAAGGCTGGGCGTGGTGGCTCACTACTGTAATCCCAGCACTTTGGGAAGCTGAGGTGGGCAGATCACGAGGTCAGAAGTTCGAGATCAGTCAGGCCAACATAGTGAAACCCCATTTCTACTAAAAATACAAAAAATTAGCCAGGTGTGGTGGTGTGTGCCCATAATCCCAACTACTCAGGAGGCTGAGGCAGGAGAATCACATGAACCTAGGAGGCAGAGGTTGCAGTGAGCCGAGATTATGCCGTTGCACTTCAGCCTGGGCAACAGTGTGAGACTCTGTCTCAAAAAAAAAAAAAAATTAAATGGTATAAGTGACAAATCCCATGGAGAAAAACAGAAAGGGTAGTACAAGGGAGATTAGGAGCACAGAGTCATTTGGGTGCCTTCCCTGCAAAGCAAGATCCATGTAAAGACAGAGGAAGCAAGGGATTTTGCTGTGTGAGTGGCTGAGGAAGACTATTCTACGCAGAGGGGTAGCTAGTGCAGTGACCCTAAGACAGGAGCGTGGCCCTTCCATTCTATAGATTTTGAATTTACGCTTTTAAAGATAATTTTATTATTCCCAGACACAGTAGCTCACCTGTAATCCCAGCATTTTGAGAGGCTGAGACAGGTGGATTGCTTGAGCTCAAGAGTTCAAGACCAGCCTGAGAAGCATGACGAAATCCCCTCTCTACAAAAAAAAAAAAAAAAAAAAAAAAAAAAAAACCCCTAAAAAAAAAAAAAAAAAAAAAAAAAAAAAAAATTAGCTGGGTGTGGTGGTAGGTATCTGCAGTCCCAGCTACTCAGGAGGCTGAGGTTGGAAGATCACTTGAGCCAGGGAGGTTGAGGCTGCAGTGAGCTATGATAGCACCACTACACTACAGCCTGAGTGACAGAACAAGACCCTGTCTAAAACAAACAACATCATTTTATTCTCATTTAGCCGGGTAAAATGTCCTGAACTTGGGGAGACAGAAGATAAACCCAGGAGGTAGTCTGACATCTTGAACCTGAAGTCTTATTTCTACTTCTTTGAAACCACAAGGTGGGC